AACAACAACAACAACAGCAGCAGCAGCAGCAACAACAACAACAACACAACAACAACAACAAACAACAACAACAACAACAACAACAACAACCAACAACAACAACTACAACAACAACAACAACGAGAATCCGCACCGCGGAATTCCACGTCAGCCACGCACCCAGGGACAGTGAATGACCGTTCGGCCCCCTCACTCTGATATTAACTACGGTGGCAGTTCTGTTCCCAACCAGGGCAAGCAGAAGAATGTCGGCATCTTGTTCTGTACATTGGGCTGCCAGCCGGCTGAGGGAGCTCACCCTTCTTCACTTTGAGTATCCAAATGGCTGGCACTCCCCCTACCTCGTCTCTTTCCTGCAACACAGCGCCAGTCTCCCACGCAAAGGTGGACCTTTCAGGACATTTTGGAGGGCCGGAGGGGAGATTTGGCACAAGCACCTGGCTGAGTTGGCTTGGAGATTTCTGAAGCACCCCTCGGATTCTTGACGCTTCGCATATCCCCACCAGCCCATGCAGACACGATCGGGAACTTTCTTGAGGCCTCTAGCCATGTTCGGCTAGAGGCTGTAGGAGGCGATCCTGAACCATGCTCAGCTATTTTGCACCGTCTTGTGGCCGTCTTGGGGCCTCTTGGATGTCTGTCGGAGGCTATATTGAACCATGCTCGACCTCCTGGGACCATCTTGGGAATAGGCGGAGGAAGAGGAGTAGGAGGAGGAGGAGGAGAAGTGCGGCACGAGGAATCTTAGGGCCTCCGTAGGGCCTCCTGGGGCACTCTTGGAGCCCTCTTGGGGTTCATGTTGGGGGTCTTGGGGCCCTCTTGGAGCTCCTTGGATGGGTCTGGGAGGCCTCTTGGGCCCTATGGCTCACAAAGAAGGGGGGTCCTCAATGCAAGTCGCCCCCTCGGAGACTCAAAAATGGCGTCTCTGGGCCGCTCCTGTAGCGCTCTTGGGCGCGGCGCTCGTGGGACCCTCTTGGGGCCCTCTTGGGGCCCTCTTGGGGCTCTCTGGGGCCGTCTTGGGGCCATCTGGAGGCTTCCGATGCCCATCGCAAGCGACAAGGCGAGAAGGCAAAACACATTGGTTTTCCCTAGGCTTTCGAGGTCATTGTCGTTGACTGAAGTCAAAGCCCTCATGCTCCAGGTGTCCGAGATCTAGCCCCGTCTCGCCACGATGCAGACCTCGGTATCTTCATAGTTGGTTGCGACCTCGCTATCATCAATGATACGATGCATGGATGTTCGGAATCTTCCACCTTCGCATTGCACTGCCTCATACCGTTGTTTGTTCAGATCGCCTTTTTCCTTGGGTTTGCCACGCGAAAGTTCGCTGCGGTGGCCAAACACACCGATCTTCTGGATCGCTCGAAGGCGATGCTCGGCTTGTATGCTGGCGGCGCGGATCTCACGATTTGCAATATGGGCGTTGATTTTTCGGTCGGGCGGATCCAGGACGACCAAGGGGTCCTTCAGAGTTGAGCGCCAGCGCTGGAAGACAACACTAAGGAGAGCGCCCAAGATCGCCAGCCTTCGCGCGAAGCTCGCGGCCAAGAAAACACTGTTTTTTTTTATGCGGGACCCTGCAGTGCACCTTCTTCGGCACGGAAGTTTCGGGGAACTCGCTTAGGGGCATTCACTCTCTGATGGTCCAAGGGGCTCGGAGATTGGGTCTTTGGCCCCCGGGCTGCAACCCGGAGTGTGTTTGGTCCTTGGTTCCCCCAAAGGATCTCTGCAAGCAGGCTTCCCTATCTCTGGTCAGGTACGCTCGCGAGTGATGGCTCTTGGATGATGTCGCTCTCAGGGCTCCTCATGTGCCACCTCCGAGCAAGGCCTTTCACGAGTCTCACGACCTACGTTGCTCGGGGGCAAGACTTGGAACCAGGGATCTGTCGGACCTCTTCACGACATGCTCTTCTGGACAGGCAGCGGGGTGGACACCTCGCTTGGCTGCAGTCTTTGTTCGTTCGTCTGATGGCGTGCTCGTGCTCACCTCAGTGTCTACTGTTTTGGTAGGTTGTTTGTTGACGACCTACGCCGCGCAGCCCTCTCGAAGGCGATGGGTAGGCGCACTCCCAGCATCCAGAGTCAGGAGGGTGTGGACATCAGGGAGCACGGTCTTTGGACCGAGCCTGTAAACCAGTTGTTCGCCAGCTCCAAGCCTCCTCTTGCCAAACCAGTTGTTCGCCAGGCTCTCAGTAATTGTTATCACACAGCTGCCCAACTACATGGGTGGGGGTTCGCCACAGAACCTGTGTGCCATAATTGCGGTCGTCCTGATCGCGTCTGGAATCGATGTTTGGAGCGTGGCGGTGAAGCATGATTTTTTGCATCGGTTCAGAGAAGAGAGGGTGGAGGAAGGTCTGTTGCAGGAAGTTTTGGAGGCTGGCCCCGATTCCTCCTGTTCGGCAAACTGTGCGCGGCCACACCCATCATTGTCATCCAATGGGTCCCGATGGAGCTCCCCCGCCCTCTCCATTCCCCCCTCTTCGTGCTCGACCATTTC